TTTAGAGGTTTCACTGTATTACTAGATATGTTAAATGAGATAGATATGTTGTTTTTAATATACTTAGATATTCTAAAATATTTAAATGTATAATTAAATGTTTTTATAGTTAATTATTGAATATACTAAAGGTGATAGTTAAAATCTAAACAAAATCAAACTTTAGAAACACAAAATTGTCTTTAATAAAAAACAATAGGACATAATATTTAATTGAATCATTGAGATAATTAAAAATCTACAATAGTATAGTAAAGAATGATCCAAGGAATCACCTTAATATAAATGTTTATCAACTTTAAAGTGCAGATTATAAATTTATGGGTATCGGGTACTCAATCAGTGGTGCAGAACATATTTTACAGCTAATTCATTTTAACTGTCTTTTTTTGGATGCGTTGGTGCTGGCTGGGTAAAATATTAAAGTATACTTCCTAGCCTTTCTGCAATAATTTTATTAAACACAAGAATGTCACTAAATTATTAATATATAATTAGTTAAGCCCATTCCTCGGTCGTAATAACAAATATAATAATTAAAATAGTCACTGATACTTGTAAAATGTTAGCAAATATAACCAACCAACTGCCAATTGAATTCAAACTCATGATATCAGTGTTAAATTAAATTATAGTCTTCAGTGTTGAAATTATAATATTCTAGCAACTATTTTTGTCAGGTACCAACATATTAACATTCAATAACATAGAACATAAGTAATAACTTTATTATAATCATCATCCGATTCTATTATGTCCTGTCGATACTTACAATAACAAATTTCTTCAAAGCAATTTGGATATTATTATGAATTATGATTATGATTGATCTTCCTATTTCAGCACTGCTAAAATAATAAATGGAAATTTGTCTAACGGCAACATGGCCTGTTTATAAAATATAATTATAAACTACAGAAATGAAATAAAAAGTATTAATAATAAGAGTATTATTACAGTTTCTGAAGGAAATTTTTTTTTAGCAATAGTAGGCTTTGTAATCTTTAATGATTAATGAATAATGCCAAGTAAACTTTTGAGTAATCATATATATAATTATCTGAACAACATATGAGTTCATCAGGTGTTTTCTAAGGAACTCTAGAAAGTTGTCATAAAATTAAGTCTGGGATAAAATGGCACCGTTGCTCTCCTCCCTTTTAAGTATTATATTTTAAAAGTATCTAACAAAAATATTATAATTTAACATATAATAGGTGAATTTTTTAATTATGATTCATTATTAGGTACCTACTTGATTTCCTAATTTTTGATAACATTTTTAATATGTACCTACCAGCATTAATTGTACAATTTGTATAAACAGGGATATTAACGATACATACCTCTTCAACTTCTTTTAACCATCTGTCTAATCCGTCAAATGACCATTTATTAGTTATGTCATAAACTAACAAAACACCTTGTGCTCCTCTTGAATAAGATCTGATTATTGTGCATAAACGCCCTTGACCTGATGCATCCCATAGTTGCAATTTTACTCGTTTACCATCCAAGAGAATAATTGTAGTTTTGTATGCTGTAAACAGAACAATTAAACTTAATAATATTAAYGACTCTTACTTCCTTAAAATCCAGATTGTAAAAACAACATGAACAATGAACATACTGAACACTAAGGGAAGAACTTATAAAAATCTATTATCTTAATAATTTGATAGGAAATATCTTAATATATTTTTATTTCCTATCATTTTTAATCTACTATATTATTATTCATTGTTATTAATTTTTGAAAATATGTATAGGTAAAGATTGATTATCAAATTATATTTYTAAATGTTAGAGAATTTGATACATATAACTAGGTATCTGAACAAATTATATCTTATCTGCAAAAATCAATTTTAATTAACCTCTCCAGTTAAGTTTAAAATATTATAATTTTATACTTGTTACACTCTAAGCATATCATCTATAAGTTATTTATTCAATAATAAYAAATAAAATAAGTACCTATGGATTTAAACAATAGATTGGAATGACTTTTATATTATTTTAGATTACCTACCTAGTTTTTTAATTAAATAAATAAATATTATGAGTATTATGTAGTATAATCTGGTTTAGTGTAACAAAATAACTCTAAGTAGTAATAAATGTACCTAAAGATATTATCAAAAATATGTTAAGAGGATGCTACATCTGCATTCACTGTCTCTCTCTTACTAACGTGTAACATGACAATTGGTATGAACTGAATAATCCTTTTAACTCTGWTGTGATTAATACTTGAATTTTGAACAAATCTACCTATTATAAAATTTAGAAGTAAGAGTATTATCTAGTAAACCTCATAGAGAGTTTTCTAGGAGTATCTATTATATAATTGAAGTATAAAAAAACCTTAAAGGTTCACTATAGTCAATTTKCTCTTATATTAAACATACCTGAGGTTAAATGGATTATTAAGAATGTACAATTTTCTATGTTATGTGTTTGTAAGGCAGAGATAACACATGCAGATGTAATGTTCTCTTAATAGGGAAGGTTATGTTCTACAGTTAGAAACAACCATTGTTTAAACAAAAATATAGGTAGACTAAGATTATCAAGGGTTAATAATAATAATAATCACCGAGGGGATCAATTATCTGCAGTAGCTGGTTATTTCAACAAAATGGTACCTAATATTATAATAAAAACTATGCACTTTATGTTAAATTATGGGTTTATATTATGTATAACAATTGGTTTGTCAGACACCAYCATACAAAAGACCAATAGGTATACATCATTACCACTTCCGCTGCAATATGGTGACTCAGATGATCCGTCCTCGAGATCGTTGAGCATCTCWTGTTTGCCCACATCACTGTCACCGACCAAGAGGAACTTCAGTAGGTAATCATACTCTTTCTGCTGCGGACAACCGTCGGTGTCAAGCGACATGCCAAATTCGGTGAGTCGCGTACCCGTCAAGTCGTCATCGGCAGCGGATGTTTTATGGCCACCGGGATCCCTGGTACTTCGATCAGGTCGGAGCACGTGAGGTCAGGCAGACGGACGATAATAAAAACTTGATCGAACGCACACGTGACGTATCGCTTTTTAGYGGTCTAGAGATACGAGCACTATCTGAAGTGATGGATATCGCACACTGYACAGAACTACTAGAGTGAATACTACACCAAATAATAAGTGTGTTGTCACTWGTCAAAAACTCAAACCTTTTGTTATCCGCACTTCGTACATCAGCACAGCAGCCAGCAGTGAGCAGCTCACCAGCAGAGACAACACAGTGATAACACTAATCGATCCGTTTTGTGACCAGCTGGTTGCATGGTTGCGTGCTCGCGGCGCCGTAAAGACGTTGTGAAATCGCGCGAATGATATAAAAAAATAAAAAACAAAACGCGAAAAACCGTTCGTCCGTGGTCCGTTCTCCTGCAGTCATTGTCACTCAATCACAGAATAGRTACAATGACTCAATCAAGCCAATATAACCATATTATACTTATCTATGAATATAACTTATAAACCATCCGCCAGAACACCACACAGACAGATTGAAATGAAAACGGATTCGCGTATTTATTTCGATTTTTACGCTTTCGACGCACTCATATTGTAWTTTTTTGGGTATTTTTTGATTTTTAGACATTTCTATTGCTACGATTTGGAAGACGATTTAGCTCAAACCGTAAAAAAAAATTCTGTACCATCAGTACCAGAGGGCTGTTTATCAAAAATTGGAAATTGTTCGGGAGAGTGTTTGTTCAATAGCTTAGTTTACAATGATTAGTAAGTCACGGTAAATGTTATTCGAAAATTTCTTGGAAGTTTTATGATGACCTTCTTAAAAGCTTAAACTTACGAGAAATAAACACCATAAAAATAATAAATATTTTGAGATTATGGCCTTATTGCATTTATAATTTTAATAATTAACCAATTATATTACCACATTTTCCTACCAATAAATAATTTCCRATGAAAATAATATTATTATTATTGTATGTTTCATTCATATTATTAGATTCTGAGCTGAGCATTAAATGTATTATTTTATAATAATTATATGTGTATTTATTTTTCATTTATTTGTTGATATATTATAAGATAAGTAGTTGAAATCAACGTTAAAAATGTCCTGTAGTTTTCCAAAGTGACGAAAAAACAAAATAATTAAGGAAAAATGAAATTTTTATGCAAAACCAATTTATTATCAAATCGATTTTGATTTTTTGGTTAAAAAAAAAAATAACAGTATATGCATGAAATGTTATTATACTACAAATTATAAATTATTATCATTGAAAAATGTATATATTTTATATAAATATTTATGTTAATTTTAAATATTTTAATATGACGTTAATGCTAGAGCCAATAATAACATTACGCGAAATTTATTGAGAAATATTTATAATTCTTTTAGTCATTTAGAACAATAAGCTTGTATTTTATTATGCCGTAATATTGTTGTCAAGTATCAACAAGTATGTTATTTAATATTTCGTTTTATTATTATTAACCATTTTTGTATCCACTATAAAATATCTCTAATAAAATCACGATACAATCGATTTATTTCATTAACGGAGAATAGCAAGTTTAATATATTATATAAGGTTACATAGATTGCGCTTCTTTAAAAATAAAAATCCAGACACCAAAACCTTGAAATTGAAAATTGTCGATACATTATGGCCCTCTTGTACCACAAAACAATGAGAATGAGTAACGAAATATAAATTAATTACTCAAATCTGGTGACAATACTTCATACTAACTGGTTTCCAGATTATCTCGGTCGTGTGTTGTGTCATCCTGATCATTTTCATTTGGGGGTCTTGGGTATCTAACCACCATTTAGGTGGCTATTGATTCTTCAAACAGTTCAAACCGGTGAGGCGCCGACTACACAAGTCTTTGGAATGATGATAATTCATAACTTTTTGATATGATTGATAAGACCACACCAGTTAGTACCGGGCAGTACAACTGCATCTACAACTACAGTACAACTGACYGAGTACTTCACTAGGCGTTGAGTGGAGGTTGAAGAGTATTGAGGTTTTTAGTTTCTATAGAAAAAATAAAATAGCTTAAAGCAGCCGCTGCCACTCGCATTAGTCGCACTGGATGTTGTTGTTGTTGACTGTTGTTGTAAATATTAATGGATGTTATGAAAGAGTGTCGTAACTCGTAAGAATTAGCTTTACTAGTGTACGTATTTTAGTTATTTTTTTTTTTATCATGTCATTGTTTTAGATAATAATATTATAATTTATATTATTTTACTATGATCGGCAGGCGGCAGTGACGACTATTGGTGGCGTACGTGTGTTTAGTTCTAATCTTAGTGGGAGAAACGGTTTTATAAATAACGACGACCTTGTGTACCGAATGTGTGTCGCACGAGTCGACATTCATTGAGCTGTTGAGCAACGGATTTTATTATAATTTATATTTTAATTATATTGAATGTAAAACGCTACTGCCATTTTCAAAACTCGTGTTTTCCGATCTTGAGCTCATTTATTACCTTTACTATTCCATCGCAAAAAACACGTTCCTGAAAATAATTAATACCAAGCCKGTGTKAAACATTAATCAACATCATAACAATAATAATATTGTAATTATATCACCTCAACCAGCGACTATTAGGTACCATTGTCTACAACCACTGCTCTGTGTCGAATAACAACTCAGAAATGTACCCGTTTGGGGGCATTTACTAAGAAATGGCCTGTAGCCAACTCCAGGACAACCGCATAGACATCCAAGTCAGCGCATTATCAAAAATCACTGGTTTACGTAAAGGCTAAATTACGGATTTAGTGAGTACCTATCCATAATCTGATTAATGATAATACAAGTTAAGTGTAAGGTACCTACAGGTAGTAAATATTAGGTAGGTACAAAGAGTTTGTGAATAATAAGATGACCACAAATTCCTGTTTACTTGATGGTTTTCATTTAAGCATTCACACATACTTAATAATTTTTAAATAAATAACCCTTTTCGTTGTAAGCATATAACTTAAAATCAGGTTTTTCTTGGATATTATTGATGTTCTTAATGCTTTAATTGGAATTTTAGTATAGGTTGGTACTTAATTATGTAAAGGGTTTTTGAATGTCAGTTCTGTTTGTTTTTAAAGGGTTTTTTAAAAACCAGTAATAATAAAAATATTTAGTTAACATACTTATTTACATATTACATAGCATACATATATATTTTATGTGACATACTATGTATTAACTTACTACCTGTGCATTATAAGAAATACATTTCATAGCCACTGTATTAAATTACATATTTGGAGGTCATTCATTGTCATTTTTCAACTTTAATTTCATAGTGTGTACACTTATTATTTAACTTAAAAAATATTTATAACTCTATCGTTGATTGTATGTTTATTTATAGTAAGTATGTAATCATTGAAGATGTAAAACCTGATATTTATATTTTATGTGGCTGTGACAAGGAAATAAATGCCTAAATATTATTTTACTTTCAAATTTGAAATTAAACTTTAAAATCTTAAATTAACCAATTTATTATTTATATTAGTTTCTGGGTTTACACTGTCAAGTTATAAGTAAATATTAACAATAAAATCAATCAACCTTATATTGCTCTAATTCACGATCAAGATACATGCCAATTACAAATTTAAAATTCCCAAAATCATATATCAAACTGADTTTTTTTTTGTGTTGGTATTTCTATAATAATTTCAAGATAAATAATTAATGTAATCGATAACATTTAGGTACTTACTATCTAATTTTAAGGAATACGTAAATAAGGAATAACATTTTAAAAAGAATAATTAGATAAATACTTATACTTAGTTATACCTAACTAATTAAAATATACCTCCAAGAATAAAGTAATAAGCACCTAATACAGATAAGTAAAATAAAAAAAATAAGTATGCTTGTTATGTAATGTGTATCCACTACCCAAAGTTTACTTATTACTTTTATGTTATACATAAAACAAATTGGCTTTATATAGTTAAGTGCTTTCTATAAATAAAAATAAATTATTTCATATAAAAGTATATAGGTAATAACTAATTGTATACTTGTTTATAAAATATTATGTACATATCTTATACAATAGTATACACAGATAGGGATGTTAGATCGAAAGAAAAGTATCGATACTTTTACTTGGTATTGAATCGAAAGAAAGTATTGATACCATCCAAGTATCGCAGCGGCGTAGCCAAGATTTTTTTTCGGTGGGGGGCTGATCAATTTTTTACACAGCRGTGCATTAAATACCTATTAGCACGGCCGAAGCTATAGAAAACTAACAAAATAAAGATGATAATTTAAAATTAGTAAAATACAATTTAAGACTTTTTGAGTGAATATTGTAGACCAGCGATTCTCAACCGGGGAGTCGCGACCCCCTTGGGGGTCGCCAACAATTTTTTTTAGGGTCGCCAATTCATGTGGGAAAAAATTGTTTCACTTAGAATCTTATAATTAATAGTAAGTGTTGAAATATATATATTTTTGTTTGGATAGTCCGATAGTCGATAAAAACGTACTATTTATTTATAATACAATGCAAGGCTAATTACAGATAAGATAACAATATATTATCTATTTATTTAAAATTATCGGTAAGTCGAATTAATTACTTTTTTTGTAAAATATATACATAAATAAATACAATAACAGTTTATTCAATTTTTTAATGCTTACTTTACAAAAGGGTCGTTAGACATATTGGTGACATTATAGGGGGTCGCGAACTCAAAAAGGTTGAGAACCGCTGTTGTAGACCATTGAAATAATTTTTAAATTTTATTAACATTTCGGGGGGGGGCTGCAGCCCCCTAAGCCCTCCCCCTGGCTACGCCACTGAAGTATCGAATAAAAACTATCAATATTTACTCATATCAATACAAAAAAAGGACTAAAAATTTAGCATGGTCACATTGGAACTCGTAAATAATATATAATCGTTCGTACATTACCCAGTATATTTTATATCTATAGGCTTTTACGGCCTTATTTTTAAACTCTAATTAAACATTTTAAATGCCCTTAACATTTAAAGTACACTAAAAATACAAACTTAATAGAATTTTCGTATTTTTTATACTTTTAAGTGGAATAAATTAAGTAAAAACTTAAGGTTACTCAAATGTCAATTTTACACTTATCACATCAATGATTTGTATGTTATCATAATATAATTAAAACTATTTTATTTATTTATTATATTACAAATTCATAAGTCAAATAATATAAAGTAAAAAATATACATATACATACAGTCAAATATTATAAATTGAAAAAAATAGCATAATTAAATATATAAAAAACAACCAATCATYAAACCAACATTCGTCAGGCAAGTCTCCCAATAACATCAGTTTACCTAAACGAGAACTAGATAAACGGTATCGGACCTGAGTTTTAGTAGCGCCAGCTTTTGAAAACAACCTTTCACAAGATACAGAAGTTACAATTCGATATGAGTATATTTCTTTCGATCCAAGKAAAGTATCGAAACACTTGTATTGATACCAAATAGTACTCATATCGAAAGAAAATATTGATACTGTACTCAGTCTCAGTGTACTCATATCGATAGTATCGCAACATCCCTATACACAGATATTTTCAATGGGAGAAAATCCAAACCTTCCCACTTGTGTTGTATATGTCATTTATCCTATAAAATTAATCTATATTTTTCTTATATTTTATAGAAGAAAGATAAAGAACGCTCTAGTCTCCATGAATTCGGTTTGGACGCAGTGTCCAGTGCTGTTGCCACAGCGATAGCACGATCAGTTGTTGCTCCATTTGATAGAGTTAAAATAATTTCTCAAGTAAGTTATGCTCTAATGAATTTCTTGAATTAATACAATTTATTTAATATTTCAAATGTGTAGTTAAAGTTTTAATGAGAATAGTGGAATATCACATACWTGTCCTCAAAAATATTAGTCTCCACTCAACTAAACATTAAATACATCTAACCTCACTATAATTTAATGGCAAGTTGTTTAAAATTTTGAATTTTATACACTGAAATTTTCTGGTGCAGAAAAATTTTTAAAATTCTTTTAATCTTTCCAATCATTATTAGGTATAGTTTAGACATTAAATTCAATATAATTTGTATCTAGATACTTAATAAACTGTAATTATAACAATAATCTAATTTATTAATTATTATTTTCTAATTTTCAATATTTGAGCTACAAGAATATGATATGACATGTGATTTTATTACCCTTATTATGTTTACCTATATAAGTAYTTAAAGCTATACACTGTTTTCAGTATCATATAAATGTTTTTAATTTATTTAGGTTCATTATACATCTATTGTTAATGGTCAAAATAATCAACATTATCATCCAGGAATCTTAACAACATTAAATCAAATTTATCGTGAACAAGGATTACGGGCACTATGGTTTGGAAATTTTACCAACATTTTAAGATTTGTTCCATCTCAGGTACTTATTATATCTTTATATTCTAAAYATATTTTTAAGACTATTTAATTATTTTATAAATATCTAGCACAAATTAAATTAATATTTTGATTTTGTTTTAATTATTTTGATGGTTACAATGATTTTAGGCACAGGAYACAGGTATATTATGAAGTAGCTTAATTTTTTTTTTTATCAAACTGTATAAATATGCATATTACTGTGGTAATTTAAAAATTAAATATTATTCAAATTATTGTTGCCAATTAACATTTAGTTAAATACTTAAAACCTAACATTTTAAACCAAAAAAAAAAAATATATAATATATATATACATTTGGAATTGATCTTACAATGATGTAAATAATGAAGTATTAAAAGAACAATATCATTACTGTATTTATTTTACTTGAATTAAAGTACAGCCAACCAGAAGTGACCTAACAATTTTTCATTCATGAGAAAATTTTAGGGATCTCCTCCAAAATTATTTGATACAATCATTAAGTATTAAAAATTTAAAAAAAAAATTATTTATTTTTGTAAATTATTTTCCTTAGATAAAAAAATAAATTTAGCGACTCAACAATAAATAAATTATTATTGAAGCATTTATTGTGTTGTGTCTCTTAAATTGCTATCCCAGAATAATGAGTGGTACTATACATACTACTATACAGAGTGCGGCATAAGTCGGTTCCCGCACATTTATTATTTGTAATTTCTTTGTTGTGTAAATTAAGGAACTGACTTATGCTGTACCCTGTATATGGTGGTCTGTAGACACCATTGGTCAGCCGACTTTTTGCACTAGCATCACCCACTCACCCAAAAACTACCATGAGACCCAGGTCGCATAAAACTCTCATTATGTTTTAAAACCTAACAAAAAATGATCTTTAGTTGCATCTGTGTACTATTTTTAAATAGCATTACTCCAACAGCTAAAAAATTATGTATAAAAAATAAAAATGTATTCACATATCACATAATTCAATGAATAGTTATTGAATAACCACAACCCTTTTTATTTTTAAAACATCAGCAAATGGATCATTATAAATTATAATATGTACTTCAAAATGTAGAACTTCCGGATATGCTTAAAACAACCAGTAGGTATATTCATTGCTTACATCACAAGTTATTTGATTTACATTTTATTACAGCCTAAGAATTTTAGAATACAGACAACCTATTTCTAAGATTTAAATTAACTTTTTATATTTATATTTTGATCACCTGATTAAAATAAATTACAATTAAAGGCATTCACCTTAGTTAAATTATTGCATGTATAGGATTAAGTTTTACTATCCTTTAACAAGTGAAGTTATATTTACAATGGTTAATTAAACATCCTGTAGGTTTTAAAATAGCAATGCATTGATTTTCATTAAATATACTATAGTAGTCGTCAATATATATCGATGACATGGTTTAGTAAAGAAATTGTTTTACATATAATTTATTTGTTGATATATTAATTCATTTGGTTTGTTTTTTTATTTCAACAGGCGGTTATGTTTGGACTAAACACATTTTACCTAAAATTGCTTTTGAGCAATATTAAACATAAAGATGATGGATGGAGTCATACTACTTTGAGTCTTATATCTGGCGGATTATCTGGTGCAACCACATTATGCATGTTCTATCCACTTCTTTTCTGTCAAACTCATTTAGCTGCCCATGTTGGACCCTTGGTTGACCGTGAATATACTGGATTACTGGATTGTATACAAAAAACTGTTCATACAAATGGTGTTCGAGCTTTGTATACAGGTATTTAACCTTAATAATTGAATGTATTTAAATTTCTTTGCTGTACACACATAAATTATAATTATAACTTTTATGTTTAGGATTTGCTATTGCAGCTAATGGAATGGTCATAAACAAGGCTATTTACTTTGGAGCTTATTATAGTTTTAACAAAACTATTCTAGATCATAGTAATAGTCTAGTTTCTATTGATGAAAAAGATACAAAGTTACCATTTTGGATACGGTTTGGAACAGCACAGGTTAGATATTAATTATTAAATTAGTTTTAAATATGTAATATTACATTGGTAAAAATGTTCTATTTATTTTATGTAGGTTTCCACTTACTTGTCACAATTATTCAGCTATCCTCTTGACACAATTGGCAGAATGTTGATTGTCCAAACCGCACAAGAAGAAAAATTGTATCACAATGCCAGAGACTGTTTTACTAAACTATGGAAATCTCAGGGTTTATCAGGCTTATATCGAGGAATGTTGCCAAATATGATTCGATCAAGTGGTTCGGCTTTAATTCTTGTGCTGCACGATGAATTCAAATGGATACTGAGTAAAATGGGTTTATTTGGAGGAGACATTCAAGACGATTAAACAATAATATCCTTCCTTCTACCTACTACTTTTTCATGCAAATATATTTTTTTAAAAACTTAAAAATTGTATAATGTTTTATTGTTAGTTGACGCCATGCGATTCTAGTCAAGTATTTTTAACCTTGTTAGTATCTGCAACCAATTATTTGTGAATATCATGTACCATTAAATACTTGTTATGGATATTAAATTAATAATAATTGATTTTCTATATGGTTCAATTGTTAAAATTTTTACCTAAAATTATTTTTCCTTAAAACATTTAAACTAATTGGTTTTTAAAATAATTTAAAATATAAATCATAAATGCTATTGTAATACTATGAACAATGTCTTTCAGTGATAAAAATCATATTATTCAGTGTTAATTGCTTTATATCTATTTATTATTCAATAAATTCCTTATCTCGCTGACTGACAATGCAAAAAATTATAAACATGAAAATTCCACATAAAAGTTAGATTTTTCTTAGCAGTTTTAATTTTATTTTTATTTGTTATAAATGTGTATTTATATGAACTCATTTTTTGAATTTTGGTTTAAAATTTTTTGTATTATTATGATTTATTTGATGATTAAGTGATTGCTTGTAAGTTGTAGTGKCTTAAATAAAATGTATCCTTATCTGTGGGGCAATTTTTTTTAAATGTTTGGTTGAAGCTTTGTTTCTTTTAAGTGTAAAGTTAAATCTTACACTATGATTCAATTAAAATTCATCTTCATGATATGTGTTATTAAGAGGACGTTACGTACACATGCATTGGTCTCTGCCTTACAAATGTAGAACATAACAAAAACTTTACTTGTACGGGACAACTGTTCTCCCTCAGTATTTATTGTAGAATTATCAGAATTCCACGACAGATAGGTAAGAACTTATCTGTGTCATAGTTTCATTATTTTTTTGATAACATAAATAAAACTGAAATTTGTGCCATCAAAAAAATAACGACGCAAAGACAGATAAAGTTTTTATCTAGAATTTTGATAATTCTACTATAAATACTGAGGAAGAACAGTTGTCTCGTGCAAGTACAGTTTTTGCTATATTCTATGTCTGTAAGACAAAGACAATGCATCCGGTTGTAATGTCCTTTTAATAAAAATTTAGATTTAACAAGGTTAAAGTGAAAGTTAAAAGCTAAGTATGCATAAGAAGTTGGCTTTAACGCCTTTAACAAATAATATATTTTAAACAATAACAAAAGTGTGTTCAACGATAAAGACAAAACAAAATATTTAAACACTTGGCCTTAAATTTATTTTTAGATTATTTTTTTCTCCTTTAGTGTAAAATACCACACTAAGTGTTTTGTATTTGAATTGATTAATTGCATTTTTTTTTTCAATTATTGACAATATTTTTTGCACAATATAGAACAGGTTTGTTTTAAACTTGATTTTATTCAAACTATGGACATTTTTAGATATTGATTCAAATATCGAATGCTGAAATATTCCATATTCCTCGCGAAAAAATCCTTGAACAAATTTTTGGAGGAAATAAAAAATGTCAGAGGATTAGAAAAATATTCCTTGCTGTTGGTGACTACATAGAAATCATGATAGAACTTTGCACTTTTCATGTTCCTGTTTTCAGGAGGAGCAAATTCATTTCATCAGGTTTAAGTTCAACGTCTTTAAAATATCTGTTATTTAGGAAAAATGATAAATTGATAAATAAAAAACAGTTTATATCGAAAACAAGATCATAATATCAGTAGCACCGATCATCTAATTTATCTATGACATATATGGGGAGGAGCTCCGTAAAATACTGCATCTGCATCCAGAATTTATTTTTAAACGCAAAAATATACGATCAAACATTACATAACGATTTGTAGTTGCTTTGATTTGCATCAGATAGTTAAATTATAAAAATGGGCGGATGATGATTGATAGGCGGCTCTTAATGTGTAGGTACAAAATGTCATAGTAGGTATATTTTAAGCACTTCAGCGCCACTGCATAATATCATATATACTTAGGTACTCCATACATACGTAAATAATTATATTCAAATTGTAATATCATTAATTTTATTGCTGACACGAATACACGATGACTCACCATCATCGATAAATTGTCTTTTATCGACATTTATCTAGAACATTAAAGTAAATCGTGCAATAATGTATTTATAATCTATACTGTTTATAATATCTTAGTTCATGGCCTGTATAAACTTAAATAATTATATTAATTGACTTCTTTTCATAAAACACGCATGTCGTATCAACATCGTTTAATTTATCCATCATCAACAACAATTATTAAAAATTAAAATTAAAACATATTATGTACAACAATTGGACAATSTGTAGATTAACTTCTACATAATTATATAAACTGCGCAATCAGCCCGAAATATGAAGTATTGCATATTATTATTATATAATCAAAAATATTATTTACTTTTTACACACATATGAAAATCTATGATAATATTAATAGTATTATATAGAGCATACGTAATATACTATATCGTTATGTAATCATATTTATACAATGACGGGATCTACGTGATCCTTACATGCTGTAGCTTATACCTACGAATAAGATAATAATCATATAATCTTACATATACCTAAGTAGATACCTACACACATAATAATTATAATATTGATGTTTAATATTATATACCATATCATACCTATAGTAATATATTAAATACAAAAGATAGGCGATTTTTGCTACCTATTTAATATTTTCTATATCGTTGTCGACGAGATAGACGAGGATCATGCGAAGATATACCCATATAATATTATAATATAACATAACTCCATGCATCTTATATCTGCGTTACCTAAAAATTACATACCTAAAATACTATAGAATCGTGGAAATAAGTGACCCATTTCATTATGAATGGCATGCATAATATTATGACGGTATTAAAATAATTAACAATGTTTTCCTATGATCTGTCTTTGGTCGGCGCCAGAGACGACTCGACGTCACCTTTGCAAGTGCTATCGGTTTGGGTTCCGGTTCCGGTTCCAATTTCGGAGCTGTTAAGGTGCTCGCACAACGACTTCATTTCCGTCTGCTGGTTAGAAATGGTTATGGCGATCTTCATGCAGTACACAATGGCTGCCACGATCGTGATGACCAGCGACACTAACGCAATGCCACCGAAAATTATGGTATTGATCCGCAGAGGGCTGCTGTACCGGCGCGTCTGCGGTTTCCTCTTGACCTCGTATACCAGGTTGCCAACGGTAACGATGATCTCGTCGTTAACTAGGGCCGCCGGCAATTCGTCTTCGTCGTCCTCGTAGTCTTCGATTTGGTCTTCGTCTGAATGACTGCCGTGGTCCTTGAAGGACAACCGTTTGGGCGGCCGGCACACTATGCGGTCAGGTTCCACGGACGTCACGTTGCACGGCACTCCGGTGTGGTGGAACAGTACTGTCAGGTCAGCATCGTGGTCGTAACCTTGGTCCATGTTCAGACCGTAGACGGTAACAGTCCGCCCATCTGTGTCGAAGTCGGTGTACACCGGATCCGGGTACACGGTGTAGTCAGGCGTACCGGTGGGCGGCTGTATCTTGACGATCGTGTCGTTGTAGTCGGCCTGGAACCCGAACTTCAGCGCGGTCACCTGGTGTGGTGCTGGCCGGTTGATGGTCGGCGCCGTGCACACCAAGTACGTGTTGTTTTTCACTACGCACCCGCCAGTGTACTGAATGCCATTGTACGACACGTGCACCAGTGGATTGCGGATGCACGCAAAGTTCTGGCCAAATACCGGAAGCTGAGTGCCACCGGACGCTATGCTCCGGAACGTCTGGCCRCCATCCACAGCTGGTGTAGACGTGTACACGAATGGTGGGTCGTGTACGAACTTGCTCAGGTAGTGGTCAAACTCGATCCGTACCGCACTAGTGGCCGGGRCGTCGCTAGCACCTGTTATGCACGTCACCTCGTTCTGGCTCTGCGAAACCACCGCGCAAGTGATATTTTCCCGCAAGTACACACGAACAGTGCCAGCGTCCAAGAACCGGCCGCGGATCATGATCTTTGTGCCGCCGGTGGTTGGGCCACACGTCGGCCATACGCTCGTTATTACCGGCTCCACGAAGTAGAAACTCTGGTTGGACCGGAGCGTGAACGTGGGTAGCAACTTGTTCTCCTCCGACATGTACGTCACCTCTACCGGGCCTTGGTTCAGTGTACTTGTGTTGGTCGGCGGTATGGTGCACGTGACGGCCGTGCCGTCCATCAACACGGTGGGCAGCAAGCATCGGCTGTTGGCGACCTTGATCACGGTCACCTTGTTTTCGGCCAGCGTCCGGTGATTGCTGATGACGATCCGCACCGTCGTTCCACCGGCCCACGATCCGTACAGTGGTGAGATGGACTCGATCCGGACCGCGGGACATTGGATCAGCACGTCTTGGACCGGTGCTACGCGACTGGGGTCGGCCAGCCGGCGGACGTCGCATTGCTGGTACGACCCGGTGCACGGATTGCTCTTGGGGCACCACTGGCAGTAGTACCGGTACACGTCGTCGTCCCAAAGGCACACCTTGCACTCGTCACTTGGCCCCAAGTGGCTGTCGGTTACGCACGCGTTACGAGGCACCGTGAAGTCCAAGTAGTGGTCACTCTTGTCGTCAAAGGCCAACGGGACGCCTTTCACGGAAACTGCAAAATAAACCATCGACGACAACGACGAGTTCACAGACTCCAAGTAGTCAGACTCGCACGTGATCTGCCGCCCACCACTTTCAACTTTGCCATCGTACTTCATCTCGTTCAAGTGGCAGTACACCCCACCCCGTTCGAGCAGTGCCCTGAACGTACCGGTCGGGTCGTTCGACACTTTCACTTGCACCGTGCGGTTCGCCGTGTCCAAATTGGTCCGTTTCTGGTAGTTGACCTGGAACCGCGGACATGACCGTGCGTCGCTCACCGCCTTAGTTGGTGGATGATGGTGACCGTCGTCGCCCGGATCTTCGATCAGTTGTTTTTCCGTCGCCGCCGTGTCATTGCACGATTGCCGTACCAGCGACCAGCTGCAAGCGGGGGCAGCAGCTGTGCATTCTGCACATGTGTCGCGCGCCACACAATCCGCCGTCACATTCGGTCGCATAGTCACAGTGGTTTGTTCAGATACAGTCGTCGAAGGGGATTCGGCCGCTGCTATCATTCCACTGGCCATCATCATTGAAACCTGTATATTATAATAGTATATCAGTGACGCAACCTTATGTTGATTTTCGGTATTTATTAAATACCGAAAACTCAATAAATAAATACGTTAATAAATAGTATTTATTAACGTAAAAATCAAAAATCAAACACAAAAAAATCGATGTTATCATTAATATTATTTTTAATATTTTCGATTTAACGAACCCGTATTTTACACTATTATAATATGTCTTTAAGTTTTTGTTTATAATTTAGATATTTTTGAAGGTTTAGAATTCAATTTTTTTTTTATCTACTTGGTTGTTTTAGTTAAGTATATTAAACGTAAATAATAAAATTTGTTTTGATTGATTATATGAATGTATCTTGGAGAGAGGCAGGGCCGGGCCGAGGGCCTGGCAAGGCGGGCGTCTACCAGGGGCGCAAAATTTGATATAATTAAATTTGAAAATCTATAGGGAGGGAGGCGCTAATTTTTATTTTGCCAGAAGCGCCGCTATTGATCGGCTMAGCCTGGGGAGAGGTTTATGGATTAATAAATGTTCTGAAGGTGTACGTTTTTATTTAGTTGAACTTTTTTTTAAATATTTCGATTTTTAGCGTTTTTTATACCTAAACGTAGTAATTATAGATAAATCACCAAAGACAAAAGATCTAAATTCAAATATTGCATTATTTTATTTTTATTTTGGTACAATAGCTAGTTAGCATGTCTCGACAAATGTCAACGGGAAAATGTTACTGCATTATCATTTAAAATGCGGTTTATACTGTTCCTTCTCATATTAATATATAATATGTCAATAATGATGTCAGATTTGATAGTGTGATTAATAAAGTGAACAACAAATTACGTATGCTTTATTCTAAACTATCAATTATTTTATGTTCATCTAAGGCTAACCAAAAATTAACTATTAATATTTGGTGGTTCTTCTATAAAAAATTAAAGGTTTTATGTTTGTATTATGGCTGTAATTAAATATTTGTTTTAAATTAGTATGGAATTCTTCTCCAAATGTTCGTTTAATAAGTTTTTATTAAAAATATTTATTGACATAAATTATATATTTTTTGTCATTCAATTATTGATTTATGATCTACTCGTTTTATTATCTATATATATTATGTGTTTGACTAGTTMTAAAAATTGGGCAATTATTACTTTTAATTAAAATATTATATTAAGTATTAGTAATTATATACAATTATTTTAATTTAGTTTAATTTAGATACATTGACATTTTTAAAGCTTGATTAGGTTTTCAGGCATTGCTTTTCATATAATGATTATTAAAAAAAATATATAAAAAAATATCGCATACAGAATTGCATATTGATATATAATAGGTAAACCTATAAAGCCAAAAGTGAAAAGACGTTCGTTTTTAGTTTTAACGTTCATAAATGTACTCTATAAATAATAATAGATATACGTACAATCACTATAGCCAGACATGGTCTATTCGTAAATAAATGGTTCCAAAAACGTTTTTTTGAACGTCTACCCACAAACATGTTTGTAAGTTCTTCTGAAATGAAACAATTATTTGATTAGACAGTAAATATTAAATGGAAATATTTTTGATTTAAATTTAAATTTATTCTTGTTTTCTTAGAGGTCTTAATTAAAAATTAATTAATATTACATTATTATATCACTATATTTCATGATTAATGTAAGCGTTTATTAATTTTAATGAAAACGATAATTTTTTWAAATATAAATATACATACAAATTAKAAATAGTATTACATACCAATTATTTTGAAGTACGTACCTAGCTATAGTAGCTATTATAATATTAATATTGTAYATTATAAAATTTAAATGAATCACTACTTGGTTTTTTACTCATAATATATGTATTATAATATGAGCCACCTACTGTATAGTTTTACAAAAATATACAATAAATTCAATCACATAAATACCTGTAGGTAACGAAGAAACGCTATAAGTATTCAATATTCAACTATTTAGCTACTGTAGTTGTCGCTTGTCTGCTACTACAACTTGCCATTCGTCAATAAAATCACTAAAATCATCAGGCACCCACGACTGAACCGATGACAAAAATCAAATGAAATATAATAATCAATTTTTAGAAGATAACTATATCAAGTATCAACTACTGTTGTATAATACTTGGTATAAACATGACACAATATTATAATTCATATTTGCATTTCAAATAATTTTGATATAAAAATAATTGGGATTATAATCGTAATATACGTTATCTTTAGTTTAAGCTAAATATAGATATATTTCTTATATCGCCTTATTATTGTATTTATTCTTATTAAGTACAGAGCATAATCGCTTTAAGACTGTGAGACCGTATCAATGTATCATATATTATAATATAAATATATTAAAATAATTGAAAAATATATTATTTTAAATTCAAACATATTATAGTATTGAATATGGACACACAAAAAACTATAATAGAATTGTTTCTTAAGTGTAAGGACTTCCTATCCATAGATAGATTGTATTTATGAACCGCCATTATTGGTTTTATACTTAAGTATAAAAATATAATAATCATTAGATATTATTTTCAACTATTGCTTCAGTTAATTTAAAGGAAGTTTCTGTAAATAATATATACAACATTGACCATAGTAATTTTTAATATAAAATGTAAATTTTTCATTTTTTAGCCCTCCCAGGAATTTCAGACGGCCCGTAAGCACTTCCCGTCGCCCACACTTTCCATGACCCTGGTACTGGATATACTGTAATTAGTATCTATTAGAATATAATATGTAAAAGTGACAGTTATAATTTAAAAATTAAAAATTAATTTAAAGACCTATATCGATTAAAGTTATTAAAACTTTGAGCTAATTAGTTTAAATTAAATTTACWTTTAACTTAACTTYTTTAACTATYAAACACATTAATGAGCGGCTTTAGACTAATCGTTTACTAAATATTAYAAACATATACTATATTATATCAACTGCATATCTTGTAAAAACTATGGACGTCATGACGGGTGTACACGAATCGGCTTCCTGGCTTCTGTGGCAAATACGTGAATATGCGATAACTACTTGACAATATAGAGTTATGTAGCATTTGTTTTTTGGAATGTCACATTTTTAAAACAAAATGAGTGATTTATAATTTAAAATGTTCATGTTAATTGAATGATGAAATGTTCGTTTAACTCGGTAAGTCGATTAATTTTGAACGAAATGGGCGATGTAATTATATTTATTTTTTAAAAAATGTATGATATATTTGTTCAATTTATTACCTTCTTAAAACTTAAATTAAATGTGTACATATTACAATATTTTTATTACCAACATATCTTATTTTTAAAATTCTTTCAAAATACAATATGTATAAGAATGAATGATTGACATAAATGTACTTACTTGTGGTTTGTGCCGTGCAAGTTGTCAGTAAAAAATTATTGTAACCGTACAATATTTATGTCTATGTGTGTAAATGTATATTATCACCAAGATTTTATTTTCAAAACACTTTAAAATTTAAAAAAAGCAATTATATTTAACTCGTTCTTCAAGCGTTCGAAACGTGTTGTATCTATTACAACTACTATTCAAGTAACTCAACCTTCGTCTGAAATGAATAATGTTCTTAAAGGGCTATTATATGTTTATCATATTTTTTATGATTATTAACTAATGGGCGTAGTCAGATTGTGTCAATAGTCGATGGTTAAACAATTAAATCTATAAAATTAGTAAAGTATAAAATACATTGTCGTCTAATATTAAAATAAACCTATAAAAAATATCTTCCTGGCTTGACACCATAGCCTATGGTCCATTGGTTATGAGTGTTATGACTTATTAAATACTTATATTAACTATTGAGGGACCAACTTTCCTTATACAAATCTAGAAACAATCCTAGGAATTGAAAAGGACATATTATTTAGCATAAAAAATGTCTCAACAACCATTTGAGCTGCTAGCTTGCATAAACTTTGCTATTAAAATTGCGTAAAATTGGAATTCCCCCCCTCCCTCAAACACCAGTGGAAATAAAATCCAACAAATTTGAAAAGTTACTCAAAAATTTCCAACAAATCGTTGAAAACTAGTTTAATATAAAGAAACATATTAGTATATGATCTTTACGGTAAAATATTAGGCTTATATTGGAAAATTAAAATTGATATTTTAAATTAAAATTATATGAGTGTTGTTATTATACAAATTTATTACAAATAACGAAAAATATAAAAGATGAAGTAAAATAAAAATTAATAAAATTATATAAAATAATTGTAAGTATTAATAAAACTAAGGCTCCTGCCAATAGTTATATTAAAAATATAAATCGGAGGTTAATTTTAAAGGTCTGCGTGTCGTTCTCTACTCTTATAATATCTGGAGAATAATACTAGATAATATATATGTTACGGGCAAAATATACAATTTGGGCATTTTATACAATGCCCGGGCGTTTAATACATTATCCGAACATTTTATACAATGCCCTTCGTATATTGGGCAATATAGATAATAATAACGGATGAGATGACTTAATGAAATATGATAAATCGTAAAACATTAGTTTTATTAAATTTTATTAAATTTTATTAAATCGTAGTTAAAATAAAGTCTAATTATTATATGTCACTAGTTTGTTTGTTCTTATGGTATTTTTACAATGGAGATGTCCGCTTGTCCGCATATTATACGCGTGTACGTGACATAATATATTTTAACTATATTTACTGATTTATTAATTATATTAGGAAACAGTATATGCGACAATAAGTGATAATAAAATTGAAAAAACTTATTATATTTTCTAATAATATAAATACATTTCATTATTCATTAAATCATCTCATCCGTTATCTATATTGACCAATATACGAAGGGCATTGTATAAAATGCCCAAATTGTATATTACCTTCTTACAGGTGTTTCGGAGGGCTCTCGAGGTCGTGATTCGAGAATATAATCAAGTACACCGTACAATATAATTGTATGCAAAATATGCCTATAATTAAATTATCGCTATCAATATATAAAATATTATACTAATATCTTAACTGACTCACAGCTACCTGTGGTCTATGCTGTAAAAGTACTAGATGACACAAAGTAATTACTATTCAAAACACTCGAAACGAAATAATTAAATGCACTGATTGTTTCTCAACGTAATGAGTCCAGTCGTTGCTCGCAAGATTCGGTATTGGGAGGTTGTTACTGTCGTGGATGGTGCTCATACTTTTTTTATAGTGAGAGGAGACGACGTGGCCGGCTTGGCCAGAGTCGCAGATGGCCTCGTCAAAGGCCTCGTTTCCAAACACTTAGCGTTGTCTTTGGTGACAGAGACCATCATTGGACCTCCCCTTATCTCTGGTGGCACACGATATTTATTGCTCAAACATGTACGCCAGATTGTCACAACTACGTATGAGTTCCTATTTGACCGAATAATGTAAATCGTTCCTTTCATCAGTGATTAATGGTGTTTTTTTTTTATTTTAACGGTTATCCGAGTGCGACAACTTGGCCGTTATTTATTTTATTGAATAGTGATGTACAATATATAAAAATATATGACTAATTATGACCATAGAATAACTATAGTATCGTGACGAGCGATAATCTTTTTATTTTGTACCTACTGTTAAGAAGTTTAATTTAATTCAAAAAACACAAATCCATATATTATCGCTCCTCTTAGAATCTAAAATTGAATAAAACAAAAATCTTACGCAAAACCAAATTTGTAATAAATACATTTTAATCTCAAAAACAAATAATTGTAGATACTTGAATTTGTTCAACTGTTATTTGTACAAGTATATATTGTATGCTGCAATATAAATAATATAAAATTTAAAATATATTATCTATTATAATCTGTTTTCCGATTTATGTATGATGAAATGTTTGCTTGTATACGTAATASGTATAATATGAGTAAAAATTATTAAAAATGTAAAAGGTTTCTTAAAAGTTGTTTATATCACAATTAAAATCTAAAAATAATAAGAAATATTTCCATTCGTTTATGAAATTAGATAATAACACGTAATAATATATTAAATAAATCTCCTCAAACATTTTTTGATATTATTATTGTAACTCGAATAATAGGTTCCTAAAATTTGCGTGCTTATGTTTATACTTTTTGAACGTATGAATAGACACATTTAGGTGGTCGCCTATCATAATATTGATCAGTTTCGGTGATGGACCTAACTGAAGCAATGATGACTGTGATGGGTTACAAATGATTGCGTGCGGTTYATGGAAGTGAAAAAGCAACAGAACGACAAGTTATTAGCGACCAGTTTAATAGACAACTCCTCAGCGCCGTAACCTTATAGTTCAGATAAAAGCCTTTTTATATAGTAACACTGCAGCAACCGTCTAACACAAAATCCATAAAAACTGGATCACACGGTCATGTAATGGTCGCTCACGTTGTCGAATCGCAATAACTTGTCATCGAACACGATCAATAAATAATTTGTGTGCGGTATCAACATCAACTGTTGGCACCTGGTATTGTACAGCGGTATTCGTGTCGATACACCGGAACAGAAGATTCGATCCGCCGTTCACCTTGGCCGTATAGTTATTGTTGTCCTGCCGACACTCGACGCTGCTGTTGGCCAACTAACGGGCCAAACCACTTCTCCCATGTCCGTAACCTTAACCGTCACCGTCTTGTTGTCACCCACTGCAGCGCTGACGCTATTTTCKACCGAAAACTTTGGACAGGACGATCCGTTGGTGACCACCTCCCAGCTCTGCTCTGGCGCCGTCGTATTGTCCACGCACATCTGTTCGGCGACGGACCAGCTGCACGCAGGCATCRTTATACTTCTGTACACGACGAACACGTCCATCGTTCCTTGCACGTACTTCCGTTTAAGGGCGTAATTCTGTTTATGGTTGTGATTCCCAACAAATCTGTSCCTGCGAGAATCTCGTGCACCTGCAACTGCAGGTTAAGTTAGGTTAGGTTTTATTGTATAGTATAATTTTTATACTTCTATTTGAATTTATACAATTTATTAACTTGTATATTCATTATCAATAATATTATGTTTCGATCTAGTAATATGTTTTAGCAACTGTAGGCATTATTAATAATCAGGGCTCGAGACTTGTAGCATTTGCATATTTTTTTGTAGTTTATGAAAAGATAGCAGAGTAAGCAATAAATCCATTTCAGACAAAAATGAACTCAATACCAAAAGTTTTTAGTGCATATTTTTGCATATTCTAGAGGTTTTGCTATTTTTTCGACTATTTTGCTATTTATTGCTAATTAATGTAAAAATCGAAAACTCAGTCCTGCAAAAATACATATTTCGGCCACTCATCAGTGATGACAGTTTTGGGATGTTATAAAACTCATTGTCGATTGAAAAAAATATTCCTAAAATATCCCAATGCAAGACAATATCGTGTTTATCGTATCTTTTATCTTAATGTTGTTTCTGTTATCGACTTCGACCATACTTGCTTATATACCCAATAATTATAGACTGTTCCAATCTACAACGACGTAATCGATTAGTATACGTCGACTTTTGATTGCGCTCGTATGTACGTTTTTATCCGTATAGTRAATTTGTGAATTTATAAATTTTTCTTTGTTCAGCTTTGTGTGTTTCATTAAAACATATTTTTTATACCATGCCAAAAGATAAATTATTACTAGCCCGACGGTTAAGAAGCTATGTACAAGAATTCGGTTCAGATACGTTTTCACACRATTCATCTATTCTTTTCTGCAAATACTGTGAAATTAAAGTAAATTGTGGAAAAAAATCCAATATAACACAACATCTTAAAACTGACAAACATAAAAAACCAATAAAACGTAAACAAGAAGAATCAGTAAAATTCGACACATACAAATTAATGAGAACAGGAAAGAGTTTTTAGTCATTATTTGTAGAAAATTATAACTGTAAAAATTATATAAAAAATTTTCTTTAAATTTTAATAATTATAAATTCATAAATGTCTAAATAAAAATTTTTAATAAATAATTTTTAAAGCATATTTTCATATTTTTAGTGCATAATATTATAGCGCATATTTTACATTTTTTCGGTGCATATATAATAGCGCATATTTCATGATTTTTTAGTGCTATAAGTCTCGAGCCCTGTTAATAATATTGTTATTATCATACAGTTATTGCTGGTTAAATATACCTAATCTAAGTGGGTACGTTTAGGTATTTTCTATATCTTAGAATGGTGCCTATCTGGAAAATAACAACATTTTCCTATAGGACTTAGGTACTAWGTATGCTTCTTAGTTTTTACACAGCCAAGGGTGGCTTCAGGGCAGGGACAGGGGCCACCCCTCCAGTTCGTATTTATAATAAAATGTATATTGCTAAAAAAAATTACAAACAAAAAAGCATATTATAGTTGTAATATCAAATATTATACAACACGCACAAATATGTAGATAGAACCATAGAGCATAATAGAGGTATTTTGTGAAATTATAACTTCCCCCCTCCCACAAAAAAACAAGGCTCTGTAGCCACCCCTGTGCACAGCGCAGTGTAATATTTGCATACTTGTTCTAGATGTGTA